GTGATGATTAATGTAAGACGTAGTGTAATAATTATAATTAATGTAAAGTGCAGTTAATATGATTAATGTAGAGTATAATGCAAATCACGTGGTTCATGTAAATAATACAATTATGATTAATGTAACGTGTAATTAGTGTGATTAATGTAAAGTACAATGTAGATCATATGGTCAATGCAAGGTGGATATTTTGTATACAATTCTTATAATAAATGAGAGTATAATACATCTAGCATGATTAATTTAAATTATAATGAAATACAGTAAGTATAAAGTATAACATTATTTCAATTAATGTGAAATATAACGTAATTAATATAATTATCATAGAGAATTAATGTGACCAATATAATTAACGTAGCGAATTAATATGATCAATACAATGAACGTAGGAAATATGATCAATATAATTAATACAGACTGCGATTAAAATTACATTAATAAATAAAATTACGATGTTAATTCTACAATTACCGCAAAACGTAGTAAGCACATAATTGTAGGTATTAAAAAGAATTTCTGGAATCCCAATGAAATAAAAATTCTACGTAAATTCCCTGAAAATCTAGCTTGATCCCACTATATTCAAGTACGTACAATACGCAGACATCTTAGATAACGTTTCCAACGTATTTCAGCCGTTGAAATTATTCTCAACGATAAAAGGGTGTACAAAAGGGCAGAAGTCAGAGCAAGGTTTTTCCGTCATATAAATCCTCGCTTCTCAGATATCGTGTTACCATGGTTCATGGAAGTACATCAATTTAATCCCTTACAAAATACTATGCGTTCTGGAAGTGAGCTTTAATAAGAAAAAGCCTTGTTTATCATTTCTGTTATGCCATTAAAGTCATCTTATAATTAAAATTCTACGAAGTGATGCTGATTGTCTCGATCTTCTTAATTTCAAATTATTTTCAACGCTGAGACTGGGAGAAATTATGCAAATCAGAGTTTCGAAAGGTGGACCTTTTCCGAATTAAGGACAGAGTTTCACCCTTCGTTGCAAATAGACTGCACAAAATGCACTTTGCAACTCTTATATTTAACCACACATTTTAATAAAATATTTTCAAAAATATTTTATACTTCAAGTGACAATTTTTCAAATTTTTTTGCTAGCAAATTTTTGCTAGATCATCATCAAATTGTCTAACGTTTCAATATTTTTAACAAAGTGAATATTTAAAATTCAGACAATATGTAATACGTAATACATGTCACATGTGTATATACGTTTCAATATTTTTAACAAGGTGAGTATTAAAAATTCAGACAATATGTAATACATGTCATATGTGTACATATGTTTCAATATTTTTAACAAGATGAATATTTAAAATTCAGACAATATGTAATACGTAATACATGTCACATGTGTACATACGTTTCAATATTTTTAACAAGGTGAATATTAAAAATTCAGACAATATGTAATACGTAATACATGTCACATGTGTACATACGTTTCAATATTTTTAACAAGGTAAATATTTAAAAATATGAGCCCGTAAAAATATCAGTGACGTGTGTAAGCCTAAAATGAAATTTCGAGTGCCTCAAGAAGTGTCCCCGCAGGTAGAATTTCCGGTGAAAACAGGGCGAAACAGCATGACGCGAGTTCGCCGTGAACCTATACGACCTCCCCCTCTGTCAGCCCGTTCATACACGCATTAAACACAAACGATCCCGACTGGGCTGGCTTTTAATCAGGCTAATGCGTGGCGTCGAGTTATTCCGTGGCTCGTTTCCCTTTCGCGTCCCGTCCCGCCACCGATATCGAGCACCGTGTGTACACCTCTGAAAATCGAATGCAACCGCGTCCGTCAACGTCGCTCTCCATTCCTGACATGGAATCGCAAGAGCGACTCCGATGGAATTCATCGGCGACCAAAAAAAAGAGGGACACGTTGAGCAAAGATCCGATCCTGGATCCCGGGGACTGCGAGCTTTTCCCGGCGACGATGGAACGGGGGATCCGATTCTTTCCGGATGGAAAAACCAAGAGTTCGCTGCGATATCGCGATCCAACGAACAACGGACGTTGGGAATGAAAATTTATTCGCCGACCAGTCTACCGCTGGATGAATCATGGCCAGACTTCGACTCGGATTAACTCTTTGACTGTGATTTTTGTCGGGGTTTCTGCAGCCAAGAACACGGAGCGAACATGTGGACGGAAGTTCAACTTCGATATAAATAATTGATATTCGATGTTACATTTTTGCCGAAATATTCGGACAAGATATATATTGTATTCAAAGTTAAATAATGTTTATCGGAAAATCGACGAAACAGAACTAACTAATTGTAATCGGAAGGGGTTGAAGAGGGTGCACTCGGAACCATGAATAAAGTGGAAAAAATTGATTAGGGTACTTGAACAAAAATATTAAATATAATCATTCAGAACTAGACAAATTCTACTGTAACGTAATCTATTTAGTATTGCATTTAAAGTAATCTAACGATAACAGAAGCCATGAAACCGTCAACCATTTGTTGCCTCATCCTAACCTCTCGCAAGTTAAAAAAAACACCTACAGAAATAAAATTAAACCCCTGTTAAAAATGTAAGTAGCTAAAAAATGAAACGATTGCATTAAAAAAACAGCATCTACGCTGTAATAACAGGGTAGCATAACAGTTCCAAGTAAGGAATAATTACAGTAAGGTTGAGAGGGTTGATCTTTCCAGGGTTGTATCGGTGAAAGATAACACAAGGGGATCGTTAATTTCGCTGTTGGCAGTGATGTTCCTAAATTGAAGCGAAGAGCCATAGAAATCGCGTTATTTAGGTTACGAGGAAACCCGACGAGTGCGTGGAACGAAGGAGACACGTCGGTACAGAAACGATTCGCGGGCAAATCCGCTTTGGCGAGAACTCGAATTCTTGACGCGGCAGCATTTCCTACAACAACGTGCACCCCCTCTTCCGGCCGTACAAGATTCGCGGAAAACTTTTCAGGGACTTTTCGGGCAGAAAGTCGTTCGATGCTCCCGTTCCTAGTTTCCCGATAATCCGCTGCGACACCGCGTCTTTCCACTCGTAAACTCGGACTTTATCCGCGCGGTTTGGCCACAACCCAACACCCTTTCGCTTTCTCGTAGCCAGCTTTTTCCTTCGCGTTTTAAGACCGTGTCGTATTTCTTGACCGTACAGCCACGAATGCGCGCGCTGTTTACTTTGTATCGCCGGAGGGAAATTTTGGTCGATAATGTTACTAAGAATTTAACGATAGATTCGATTAAGAGCAGGCTTAATTGAACGCTGATAGAGTATGCGCGTGGGGGGTGTAATAAATGGGAAATGTTACGCGCCGGGATATAACAGATGGAAAATGTAATGCGTTGCGGTGGAACTTGCGGGCAATATAATACGTGGACTAAATGCTTAGTTATGCAGTCGGTGTGGACTATGTAATATGTTGCGATATAACGTATGGATATGTGTTACAGGGGAAGTATACAAGACGTAATGTATGAGCAAAGTGTTTGGACTGCGCTGTGTGCGAAGTATACAATGCGTTGTTTATGTAGTGCAAGATTACTGCACGTGGAGTATGCACGATATGAAGTATGCAAGATGTCGAGTATACAAGGTTTGGATACAACGCATGGATTACAAGCTACAAATACAATGCGTGGGCATCATGGACTATAAAATTGATCATTCAAAGTGTACATTATATGTATGATATGTGAAGTATATATGGACTATGCATATATAGACATTACCACATATGATACACATAGGCAATGTAACGTGTGGAGTACGTAAAGCATGTCAGACGACAAGATAACATGTGGATATCCTCACACATGGACCATACAAAGTGTACATTATATGTATGATATGTGAAGTATATATGGACTATGCATGTGTAGACATTACCACATATGATACACGTGCAAGATGTCGAGTATACAAGGTTTGGATACAACGCATGGATTACAAGCTACAAATACAATGCGTGGGCATCATGGACTATAAAATTGATCATTCAAAGTGTACATTATATGTATGATATGTGAAGTATATATGGACTATGCATATATAGACATTGCCACATATGATACACACAGGCAATGTAATGTGTGGAGTATGTAAAGCATGTCAGTCGACAAGATGACATGTGGATATCCTCACACATGGACCATACAAAGTATAGATTATATGTGAAGTATATATGGACTATGCATGTGTAGACATTACCACATATGATTCACATAGGCAATGTAACGTGTGGAGTATGTAAAGTCAACAAAATGTGTGTCCTCACACATGGACTATACAATAAAACATACAAAATATAACAAAATATATATTAAGTATATGTAAACCATATTATAATATAATAGAACATAGACTATTCACGCGTGGATCATTCCATAACACCGTATATACAATCCGACTATTCAACGTCGACTATCACCATCAGAAATGATGCAAATATTACCAGACAAGCCATAGAATCCATGATGTTAATAATATTCAGTCCATTGTGTATATTATTTAATGCGTGCCAATTACAGCCCCCCGGCGATAAAACGTCGAACAATGGCACAGTAAAACGAGTACAATACTAATTAGTACATGGTATAATTAACAAATAAAACAGAAAAACAATATAAGTGCGAAATAAACCTAAAATAACACAGTCTGTAACGTTATTCGGAATTTATTTGTTCCATCACTCATCCCTCCATCGACTTTTCATCGAAACTCCTAGCAAAGTCTACTCGAGTCGAGTGTTCGAGAGACCCGTTCCCCAATCCGTAGCCTCCTCTTCTCGCGATCGGTCGGGAAAAAGCTCGCGGGATAGCGAGGCCGGCTCGAAAGAACCTGTTGAGCCGGATGGATAAACCAGGCTGAAGCGTGTGGACGAAGCGACAGAAAGCGGACAAATACGAGCGAGGGGAAGAATAACCTAAAGGGTCAGCGAACCGAATATGTGGATGCCTCGAGTGGCAACATCAAAGAATCGCCTGCTACTCACCTATGGTTGCCAGCAGCGCGACCAGGGTCCAGTGGAGTCTCCTCAAGTTCGTCATCACGCGTTCTTGCAGGAAACACGCTCACAAGCCTCTTTCTTCTTCCACGTCCATTCAGACACAGAACACGAGTCACGGATATTTACGGACACTTGCTGAGGTCAACCCGAACGTTGGTCACAAGTCACCACGATGTTTCGGTCCTCGAACGTTTCTGTTCTCGTTTTTTACTGTACGTTCTTTACTGTATGTTCTTGATTCTGAACTATGTTCCTGACTCTGTACGTTCCTGGTTTTAACATTTATGTCCCTGTTTTTGAACGTACTTATGCTCCTTGTTTACGTTCCGAACGTTGTGTTATTGGTCGTGAACGATAAATTTGAAATTGTTTTTACTCTAAACGACGATATTTTAAATAGTACGGTGACACATATTTTATAAATCTTTGAAACGTATAGGTCGGATATGCACTAGGTAAGCACTTCAAGTTCGAGACACTATTTGTCAGACTTTAGAAAGTCTCTCTTACAAACGCTAAAATACCTTGTAGGTTAGATATGCACTAGGTGATCACTCTTCGAGGTAACAGTTCAGATTCGACACTTCGTCCAAACACTGACACTTCACACCAGAATCAAGAACTGTGAACCTTGAGAACCTTGAACTACCTTTGAAAGGTGATATCAGGTACGAAACGAAGTCTTTTCAGCGAAACACTCTCAGGTTGAAAACACGGTGTTTCTCCATGAAGATGAAATCACGTGTGAGAGCGAAGGAGTGGCGAGGATCGCGTATCCAGGATCGTCCTCGATCGGTTGTTCGTCATGGCGAACAAAGAAGAGAAGCGCGGGAACGACGTTCGAGGCGGCGCGGCGCGGGACGAGATAACTCGTCGAGCGAGAAAGGGCGGCAAAAACGAACGAAACGGACGCCGCACGGTCGGAGCCGAAACGAGCGGCGCGGAGCGGAGCGAAGAGGTTACGGACGACGAGGAGCCTACCTGGCTACCTTGATAGCCGGCGGTTAAGTGCGACCGCGGACCGTTCTCGGGGCGCGTTCTCGCTCGCGGTTTCACGACCGAGCGAAAGAGACCAACTGATCGCAGAAACGCGCATGCCTCCGGCGAAACTTTCTTCGACTCAATTCAACGCGGACTGCGAGTCACCTCGCGATACTTTGCCATGCCGGCCCGTTTATTTCCCGCGCGAGTACGCTTTCCGCCCGTACAGTCTACGGCAAATCTCGACTTTACCTAACTATGCGATCTTCACAAATTTAGCGAAGATTTCGGAATTTCGACTTCGGACAGTTTGCAAATGCAGTGGTACGAACTTGGAAAATTTGAGGATGACCATTTCGGAATCTAGGGAGAGCTGGGAACTTTAGGCTCGTGACGATTTGAGAGTCTAATTGAGATTTAGAAATTAGAGTCGTGACAATTTGGAAATTTTAAGCGTATGACGATTTGAGAGTCTAATTGAGATTTAGAAATTTTAGGGTCTTGACAATTTGGAAATTTTAAGCCTGTGACGATTTGAGGGTCTAATTGAGATTCGGAAATTTTAGGGTCTTGACAATTTGGAAATTTTAAGCCTGTGACGATTTGAGAGTCTCATAAAGATTTGGGAATTTTAGGAACAATTTGGAAATTTATAAATTTCATAAACATTTCTAGGTTCTCAAGTAGTCCTCAAATTCCTACTTCGTCTTCAGGTTCCTATATTCGTAAATTTCTAAATACCAAGCCTCTCAATATCTAAATTGAATATCCGGTAAAATCCAAAATTCCATTGTCCAAGGAATTTGCCTTCGACCTGGTTTATCAATCGATATTTCTAGTTCGTATTACATCCTCAACCCTAAATTATTACAGCCTTAATCTTCGTAGTCCGATCTATCGGACTTAAATATTCGATTATTCGACTTAAAACGTATTAACGTCCTCCGGCGACTGTTATAGCGCGTTTCACGCTTGACGTCACTTGCAAAGAACTCCCACGTGTTTACACAGTACACCGAACAATGCCACTATCAATCTATAACGTCAGAAGTTGACTAACACTGTTAGCAATAATGTAGACACGTGGTAGCAAGGTAGCGAGAGTGCTATCTCGAGTGGCATCAAGTGTGAAATCCACTGTACCTCCGTCTTCGATAGAACGGTTAAATCCATCGTTCCATTTCGTTCGATGCTCTTCAATCGCATCTCCTTTCGTCAGGACTTTCTCTCGGATCGACTTCTCAAAACGCTTTAACGATCCTTCTGTACGTTTCAATTCGTTCCGTTCATTTCGCTCGCAGCGATATATGGCCGGCAGATAAAAGGGAATCCCGGACCGGCGATTTACTGGTCGAATCGATGCTCGTAAAACCGCGCCGCTTAACGCGACGTGGAAGCTGCTTCGACGAGGGTTATATCTGTCCGTGGACGGTGACATACTCGCGAGGGTACCTACCCGCCCGTTGGAATGCACACCACTAATTCATGCTGTCCCGCAGCTCTATCCGATACCTGCTGCTTCGCGAGGATCCGTCCTCGTTAAACCACCCTTTGATGGCCCTAAAATCAGCCAATAATCCGTGAAACTACCCTGCCACCTTCCCCGGCGAATCATTTCTTCGGAAACGAGCCTCATTACTACCCTGATCGCTATATATTACGGATACGTCCATTGTTCCTGCTTTTGACATTCGTACTGTACGGGTTGGCACACCTTTCAGCCCTTAAATCTCTTCTTACTTATTTTCTTTCCATGTACACGAACATTTAATAATACATATTATAATTGTGTATAATGCAGCATACAGGGTGTGTCAAAATATGAGGACCTTCTCGAAGCTTACATATAAAATTTTTTTATAATATGTACGATCTTCTTGAGACTCGTATGTGAACCTACAGACTGTTTTATAAGAAGTGCAGTACTCTTAAGGCTCACATATAAACCTACAGGTTGTTTCATAACATGTGAACTCTCTTGAGACTCACATATGGACGTACAGACTGGTTCACAAGATGTGGAGTACTCTTGAAGCTCACATATAAACTTACAGGCTGTTTCATAACATGTGAACTCTCTTGAGACTCACATACCAACATATAGACTGGTTCACAAGATGTGGAGTACTCTTGAAGCTCACATATAAACTTACAGGCTGTTTCATAACATGTGAACTCTCTTGAGACTCACATATGAACCTACAGACTGGTTCATAACATGTGGAGTACTCTTGAGGTTCACATATAAGTTTATATACTGTTTCATAACATGTTGAACCATCTCGAGACTCACATACCAACATACAGACTGGTTCACAAGATGTGGAGTACTCTTAAGGCTCACATATAAACTTACAGGCTGTTTCATAACATGTGAACTCTCTTGAGACTCACATATGAACCTACAGACTGGTTCATAACATGTGGAGTACTCTTGAGGTTCACATATAAGCTTATATGCTGTTTCATAACATGTGGAGTCTTCTTGAGACTCATCTATAAATATACTGATAGTTTCATAATAAGTGGGGCCCTCTTGAAGCTCATATATGAAACTACAGGCTGTTTCATAACATTTTGAACAATCTTGAAACTCGTCTATAAACATACTGATAGTTTCATAAGTGAGGTCCTCTTGAAGCTTGTACATAAAACTACAGGCTGTTTCATAACATGAACCATCTTAATGTTCATATATAATCCTAACTGTGAAATTACCAGTGCGATCATACTCGATGAATCTGTAACATCCGTCATAAGGATTGAAAGAGAACAATGAGCAAGTTAGAAGAAAAAATGTGTGGTAAATAAAATAACAGATTGGTAAACGATCGATGGAATACCGATATGATCCTGTCCTCGACCCAACCCAGGTTGCAGTATCCGGTCCTGTGCAAGAGTCTGTTTAATTAATGGATGGAAGTAATTAAGAAGCGAGGATCTCCCGCGGGAAGTGTCGGATGTAACGCGACTGGGCCCGTGTATCCTTCGGTACGTGCTCCTAGTTCAGCTATTCGCGTTTCCCACCGGCGAAACTTTTCTTCGTCGCGGGAAAACGGGCATGAATAGAATCGAAGAAGAAAAGTCGAAGGACTAAGGGATTTATTAGCGTTTCTTTTTTGTCGCGTCTTCGACGGTGATCGCGTGTGGTCCGGACAAGGTACGAAGGCGGAATCGAGAACGTTACACCGAAGGACTACGGCAAACGGAATGCCGTAAATCTCATGTAAATTCGGGACGCCGCTTGATTTGCAAGCACAATGCCAGACAATTGTACGGTCTACCATCGAGCGGCCGGATGCGGAGTCTGCGAGTTTCTCCGGTTCTCCCTTGGTTAACTTCTCCCGCGTTACAACTATTGAGCTATGGCCTGGGTCGAAATTTAAATTCTGGTTCGGACCTATCAATTGTATACGAGCCACCGCAGGTCAAAAGTGAAATTTTAGGACGGGACTTAGACTGTGGCGCCACGGACGCCATGGAACAAGCGCGTTCCGCAAAATTTGATGAATTTGATGACTTTTTGGGAATTTGATCTTTTTAAGTTTCTGTATTTCTAGGTTTTTTTATACGGTTATTTCTACATAGGTTTTAGAGTATCAAGTTTATGAATTTCTGAATTTATTTATATGTACGGGGGAGGGACTTAAAACCGACCACCTGAATAACTTGACTGGTGTTGCTGATAGGAAAAAAAGCATCAGGCTAAGATTATTTGATATAGAGGCCAATAAAATCAGATAGTCAGCCTCTCAATATTAAATAATTTTTATTTAATGAATTTTTCTATCAAAAGTAGCAGCCAAGTTCAGGTGGGTGGTTCGAAGTGCTTCCTCGTATAAGTTTTCAAATTTTCTAACGTAGGATGAGAATTCCTAAATTAGTTCCCGAATTTTTAAGTGTTCAAATAAAATCTCAAACCTTCAAACTCCCAACCCGCAAATTCCCCAAATACCTAATATCCCGGGCTAACTTGCTAAATTTCCAAATTCCAGGAAACCCAAATCTCCATCTACCAAAATTCCCAAATTCCATCCATCAAATTACGTACAAAATCCACGGTATCAATCTATATTACTTTCGTAGCCAGGTCACAATTTCCAGTAGGACTTCTGAAAGTCAGTTCGCAGACTCGGACGCAGACACGCGTGCAACGTAGACCCACGAGACTCGGTCCTCCTCGGGTGTTCCGTTACTTTCCCTATAGGTCTCGCAGTTAAATTAGGTGAAATAGCTCCCAAGACGTCTCTTCGTTACACTTCTGCCGGCCGTTATCCTCCGGCGTGATGCGAGAACTAAACTTCTCGCATTCCGGCTGCGTCGAAAACGAAGCGGGCCTAACACGGCCTTGACAAAGAGATCGCTTTTTCGGTGACGAAAGGTCAAACGGGGTGTGCACCGGAAACGGGATCGATGATGGACCATGTCGGTCCATTAAGTATTCGCGCGGCTTTAATTACGAGAACAAAGTTTCCGCTCGATTGGAAAAGTTTTCACGACGCCTGCATACTCGATCGTGCGGCCGACCAAGGGATGAAATCCAGCCTAGATCGATCCCGGGATCGAGCTTTTGGGAAAAAGCTGCTTTCTTTAGCGCCGCGTAAAAATTCCCAGTGACGATGGAACTCTCTCGAACGGGCATCCGAAGTATCCAAAGTTCGAGCTCGATTTCCCCCGGAGAATTCGCCGTGGGCGGAAATCTTCCTTAAGAGTTCAAAGGAGCAGCGCGAGTCAAACGCGAGTCGAAGAGGCGAATCTCGTTCGATGCAATTAGAGAACGCTTCGAAACTTCCTGATATAAAAGTTATCCGATCGATCTATCTCCACGGTTTTACGTCTTGCACGCCGATGACTCCTGACGCTCCGCCATTTTGATTAATACCGCGCGCTTTTTCACCGAGCGGAATATCGAGCGCCTCTACGGCTGCATCCATCATAGATTCTCGATGCTACGGTTTTTATGAACGTGTACCGTGATGTTTCCTGGGACCGATGTAATAGT